TGTCTGCTTCTTGTGCCATCGTCCTTTTCTGTTTAATTCTTATTTTCACTTATCCAGGAACCATGGGGCAGGGAAAGAGTACTCCCCTCTCCCTCACCCTAGCACATTGGAAAGATGTCCGGAGCCGGGGTCACGACCTCTCCGTCACTGTCCGGAAGGGCCCCTGGCAGATACTCTGTTCCTCAGAATGGCCCACCCTTGGTGTTGGGTGGCCCACGGATGGAACCTTTAACCTTTCTATAATCTTTGCAGTGAAGAAGAGAATCTTTGCACCGTGTCCCCGAGGACATCCGGACCAGCAGCCCTACATCATTGTCTGGCAGGACCTCGTCCAGAACCCCCCCCTTGGGTTGAGCCGTGGGTTTCGCGCCCTCCTCTCGCCCTTGTGGCTCAGGCGGCGCCGTCAGACCCGGCCAAGCGCCCCCTGAGTGATTCTCAGGAATCACCCCCCTTTCTCTGAAGACCCCCAGCGTCTGACTGGGTTGGTCGAGTCCCTGATGTTCTCTCACCAGCCCACTTGGGATGACTGCCAGCAGTTGCTCCAGACTCTTTTTACTACTGAAGAGAGGGAGCGGATCCTCCTGGAGGCGCGGAAAAACGTCCCCGGGCCCGATGGGCACCCGACTCAGCTCCCGCCTCTGATGGATGCCGCTTTCCCTTTGACCCGACCAAATTGGGACTTCAACACGGCAGAAGGTAGGGAGCGACTGACAGTCTACCGCCAGACTCTAGTGGCAGGCCTCAGAGGGGCGACACGGCGCCCCACCAATTTGGCTAAGGTAAGAGAAATTCTTCAAGGGCCAACTGAACCTCCTTCCGTCTTCCTTGAGTGGCTGATGGAGGCGTTCAGGCGGTACACCCCTTTCGATCCCACTTCAGAGGGACAAAGGGCCTCAGTGGCTATGGCCTTCATAGGCCAATCGGCCTTGGACATTAAAAAAAAACTCCAGAGGTTAGAGGGATTACAGGATTTCACTCTTCAGGATTTAGTTAAAGAAGCAGAAAAAGTATATCACAAAAGGGAGACAGAGGAGGAAAAAGAGCAAAGGAAAGAAAGGGAAAGGGAGGCAAGAGAAGATAAAAGAGAAAAAAGACAGGAGAAGAGGCTAACACGTATCCTGGCCGCAGCTGTAGGTGAAAATAGACCGCAGCAAAAAGGGAAGGGTAGAAAGACAGACAACCCGGGCAACAGGCCACCGTTAAGGCCAACCCAATGTGCCTTTTATAAGGAAGACGGGCATTGGAAAAAGGACTGTGGACCTAGGGACAAGAAAGGTAACTCATTCTTTCTTAATAATACCTGAGTGTCCTGCTCCTCTCCTGGGAAGAGATTTATTGACTAAAATGGGAGCCCAGATCACCTTCACTCCCGGAGGGGCGACTCTCACCCAACATAGGGGGTAAACCACCCTGCTAACCCTCCAATTGGAAGATGAACACCGGCTGATCAAAGCCAGTGCTAAAGGAAAAAGGAAAATAGATGATGAGTGGCTACGACTGTACCCTGAAACATGGGCTGAGACTGCGGGAATGGGTCTGGCCATTGGACAGCCCCCTGAGCGGTGGATGTCAAACGCCCGAGTGACCCATTACCAGAGCCTTTTGCTAAACGGTGATCAAGTCTTCTTTGGGACACCGGTGACACTGAATCCGGCAACCCTGCTGCCGGAGGTGGACCCAGAGGGCAAGGAGATCCTTCACTCCTGCCATGACATCCTAGCGGAAGAAACAGGACCAAGGAGAGACCTCCGGGACGTGCCACTGCCTGACCCACACTACACCTGGTTCACCAATGGGAGTAGTTACATCCACGAAGGTAAAAGGGTTGCGGGGGCGGCGGTAGTCAGCAAGGACCGAGTTATATGGGCTAGTAGCCTGCCTGAGGGAACTTCCGCTCAGAGAGCTGAACTGATCGCTCTGACGCAGGCCCTCAGACTAGCAAAAGACAAAAAGGCTAACATTTACACGGACAGCCGCTATGCCTTTGCTACAGCCCATGTTCATGGGGCTATCTACCACCAGAGGGGTCTGCTTACTTCTGTTGGAAAGGAAATTAAGAATAAGCAGGAGATCTTACATCTCCTCGAGGCTGTTCACGCTCCCCAGGAAGTAGCCATTATCTATTGCCCTGGTCACCAGAAGGGAACCTCCGAGATAGCCCAGGGTAACAAAAAAGCAGACTTGGAGGCGAAGCAGGCCGCCCTGAAATTGGGAACCCTAGTTCTCGCTGCCAGCCCCTCGATAGCCCTGCCGGAATTCCTCCACTACTCCTCAGAAGAGGAGGAGAGCCTAACAAAAAGGCCTGAGAGGTACTCCAGGGACAAACAAGGAGTCTGGAAAACCGCAGAAGGAAAGATTGTCATGCCCAAAGAAGCAGCTAAAGCATACTTAAAACAGCTGCATCGCCTTACTCATTTGGGAGCGAAACACCTACGCTCCACCTGCCGGGCAACAGGATATCATATTAGAGGGCTCAACCGTCTGTCAGAAGAAATAGCCCATCAGTGCAGGGCATGCCAACTGGTTAATTCTCACCCATCCCAGGTCGGCCCCGGGCAACGACTCAGGGGCGATCGCCCCGGGTGTAATTGGGAAGTAGACTTTACAGAAGTAAAGCCGGCCTGGTATGGATATAAATACCTCTTAGTTTTTATAGACACCTTTTTAGGATGGGTAGAAGCTTTCCCTACAAAAAAAGAAACGGCAACTGTGGTAGCCAAGAAGATCTTGGAAGACATTTTTCCTCGGTTTGGAGTTCCTAAGGTAATAGGATCTGACAA